CCTCAGTTTCGATCTCCTAATCTCCCCCACGACACCGAGCAAGGGATGTTTATACATTACCACGAAAATGCATGTGTATTCCAATGTACATTCACGAAGATATATGTGGATACTCATAGATCAATTGATAGCCACGCTTCTCTACTCGCCGGCTTGTCCATTTATTTAGTTATTGAAATTTTTCTGCCGCGTCAACACCTAAGGCCATTAGCGGTGCATTCAAATACTGATAGCGTGAAGCTTGAGAGTCCCTGGTAAGGAAGTGCTACATGATATCAAAGGTCATATGGTGTTATGGTAAATTAGAGTGGCGAAAAGAGTGAAGAACGAATTAATGATTTAGGTAAAGCTATAGGGTGAACAGTGCTAGAGGGGGGGGTATGGTAGTGAAAAGGGTAGAGAGGGGGAGCTGACAGGGTATAGTATAAGGTAATGGTTGTTTGAAGGGGAATGAGTTAAGGAAGTAGGAAGCATTATGATAAAGTGCTGTGGCGAAAACGGCAACATTTATTTAGTTTAACAATTAGGACAAGTGGATAGAACAAGGGGATTAAGAAAAGGAAAAGGAAAGGAGGAAAATAAAAGACCGTGCAAAATTAGTTGAGGCGAGGGCTGAGGACCAAGGGTGGACTGATCCCCTACACTGGGCCTCTGCCCCCCCCCCCCCGACAACAACAAGCAAGGGATTGGGTGGCCTGGCTGGCTTGTTCAGGTTGGCCTCTTAGCCAGTATACGAGATTATACTAAAATATAAAAAGAAATTGGCAAATGCTAACAATAATCTGTTTTGTGTATAGGGAGTCAGAGGTACTCACAAAGCTCCCACAATAAGATTTACTTTTAATTTTTTTGACGACCTATGTAATGCCCAAATTAATAATCACTCTTTCTGTTGCAGCTTTAGAATGCAAACTCATTGAACACAGCAATAATATTTATTTCTATACCATTACTATTATTCAGTCAGACCGTAAACTCCCGTCATTTCTTCGCAAAGTATTGCATTACACCCCTGGCCTAGGATCACTGTACGATATTATATAATGGAAATCGGAGAAAAAAAGAGAAAGTACGAGAGGGGAGGGAAAGAAAAAAGAGATATAAAGAAAACTAATCAAATTACTAAAAAATAATTCTTATGAAATAATCTACAGGTGTGCTTGGGTATTGTGTTTTTGGCCAACGTTAATAACAATCTATTTTTTTTTTCACTAGTATGTTTTTAGGAACATCTGGATGGAATACTACATTTAGATTGCCTATAGAATGCAGTGATTTCTTATGGAGATGATAACCATGTTTTTGAAAAATTAAAACGAATGTTTTGGCCATGACATACAAAAGTTTTAACCTGTTGAAGCTTAAATTCCTTATCATTCGTTTAGTTATTTAAACATTTCTGCCGCGTCAACATCTACGGCCATTCGCGGCGAATTCAAAATGCAGAGTGGGGCTTGGGGACGAAACCCTTAAGTATAGCATTATGATAAAGTATTGTGGCGAAAAGGAGTAAAAATAAGTTGACAATTAAGGTAAGTGAACAGAAGAAGAGGGTGAAGAAGAAGAGGAAAGGAAAGTGGAAGAAAGACCAAGCAAAATTTATTAAGGCGAGGGCTGAGGTTCAAGACAGGGATGACCCCCCCCCCGCCCCCAAGACATTATTTAATAGTCAAAACGGGTATTAATAACCCATATAGGAGCCCTTGTTTAAAAGGTTACAAATGAAAGCAGACATGCGAAATCTATAAATTTATTCAGTATCTTTTAATATTCAATAAAAAATCCGAGACAATAAACAATCTTGATTTTTGAGATCGTTTGTACAAACATCCAAGCGCTTTGATGATCATGCAAAAAATTCTTTTCCTTACTCTTCTTTTTTTTTAGCTTAATAAAGCGCAAGGATTTACAAAAAACCGAGAAATCATAAATTTAGAGATTACCTGAAACGTTTTTAAATGACTTAAAAATGAGAATAATTACCTCCGTGCTTTCCATGTATCAAAATAATTATTTCCCCCCCTTTATTTCACATGAACATTATGCTACAAAAGTTTCCGATGTGGCTCAATATTAAGTATCTAATAATAATAATAATTATCTGGATTATAACACTTCGCTAGCTTACCTTTCATACTTGGTTAAATGTCATATTATAAATACGTTGCTAGCTCATACGAAAATTACTTAACACCATACTGAGACATTGGATTATCAACCATCATAATCATCATCACAATAATAATAATAATAAAAATGCCATTCATGTAATGGTCAAGATATATAGAGATACTACATAAAGCAAGTGAGACGGATAGACACTCACTGTCTTTTTCCACCCTTCAAAAGCTGCTGTTAAATCACCACTCTCTCTCTCTCTCTCACTGCACGCGTGTTGGTATAATCTCCACCTACCTGTTAGTGCAGTGTTCACATCCGAGCACGCACCAACCTCCCTCGTAATATATATACATAAACATATACTGACACATGCGCAACACACGATATACACTTTTCAGATATTAATAAGATCACATGGAACAAAAAAAAAACTTCAATTCAATTGGATTAGTTCATCAACCCTATCCATGCTACACCCACTTGGCCTAATCAACTTCAAAAATTGACTTTACGAAGGTTACACGCAAATGCCGTGGCCTGACAACGTGCGAATCAAGAGTTGGAAGTTATGCGTGCAGATGTAATTGAAACTCTATTATTATTATTATAAGGTGAATGAGCACAGCAATTCAGAGTTTTGCGAAGGCGCCTTTGCTTATAGCCCAACCTCTTTCAGGCTGGAGCGGACTCGTCTTCTCAGCCGAGAGCGGCGAGTTCGTCTGTTCTGTAGAAAGACCTTAATAACCACAATAGCTGATAGGTCTAAAGCCCCAATGAAAACAACCACAACTGAACGATTAAAATGGAGGCCGGATTACCTCTAGGCGATCTACGAGTAACATTTCATGAAGATAGCGTAGTTATACCTCATACCTCCCAGGGAAGAAGGGATCGAAATTGGTTTCATGTTCACCGTTAATTCAATGCATTGGAGATTACCTAGAGAGGGGAGTATAACCGGGGGAGAGAGAAGACGGATAGTGGGGGGGAAATACTAAAGGGGTGCTTATTGGGGGAGAGGGGGGAGGGGATGGGGCTTTGGAAATGCCCCCCAAAGAGAAGAGGAGCGGGGAGTGAATGACAATCGTGTTCGTACTTTTAAAATATTCACTTCACCCCGGTTACTTTTGTTCAAATGTCTTAAATCTAGAACGAGCAATTTATCAAGACGAAGGTAACAGGCTTACTAACTTAAATGTTACACGGTTTCTTATAAAAAATCTATTTTTATATTTCTATTCCATTCAATTTTGCACCAAAATCCCTACACGTAATTAGTTTTTCCCCCTTATCTTCATTTATCACGGTTTCTTTCGTGCATTTCGTCCTTAAGTACCTGAATTACAGAAGCACTGCTCTTCACCTACATGGTAATATAAATTTAAGTACAACCTTAATTTTGCAGTAATGGTCTGTGCGGACCGATGAGGAGCTATATATCAAATTGATACTTTTCTGTGACCCCGTTTCATCTAAATGTTGAGCAACCCTCTTAGTTGGGTTCAAAGAAAAAACGATCCCTTGTATCCACTCAAAATTTTCTGGTTTTAAGTTTCAATGGCCACTTGCTCATAACCTTGCATTACACTTTGAATGATTTCTTGCATCGCAGTGCGCCCTGTCGTAGGCCTCGAGCGGACATTCTTGTCAAAGTATTTAAGTAGATTCAACTATACCACCTTGCTGTTCAATGATACTAATTTTCTAATTAAACTTCATACTTTTTTTTTTTTTACTTTAGGTTCTCTTCAGGAACTAATTCACAATAACTTTATAAAGAACAAGGAATATATTATTGCACAATGGCATTGAGTCTTGCTTTCCTCAAGTGCCTTGTCATTCTTTGTAGCACGATTATTTAGAACTGCAGATTTTTTTTTTTTAACCAAAATTACTTTTCTAGGCTGGTAGATAATGTACAAGGACGTTTGTAAGATACGTTACTTTCTAGTTTCGTAAGCACTTTTCTTTTTGTAAAGAAAACCATCTGATAAATAAACCATGAACAATATTCAAAATATGCCACCTGAGTGGATTAATCAATAAGACACACATGTGCTTTACTGTTTATTGTAAAAATAGATGTTCAAAGCACATTTTCGTTGTGGATGATGACCTCCACAATGCATTACGGTGGACGATGGTGGCTTCCACTGGCTGGCTGCCCCTGCAAATGCTGAGCCAATGCTGCCTGATACTGCCAATAATGTCAAGCAGGGGCAGTAATGTGGCAGGCTTTTGGTAGCCCGAATGGTCTTGTCTCCACTCTTTACATCAAAAATTAATGCAGAGCTAAGACTTCACACTGCTACTTTCATATTCTACGCAAAAATGTAGAATTTTTGATGACCTTGTGAGCTGGCCTCTTTGGGCGAGTGTGTTTACAAGTCTGGCCAAAATATGGGGCAATCTTTTCTAAATTATCCTTTACATTCAGAAGTGTTAAGAGGACAGCTCCTTCCCAAAAATAAAATGTACATAAAACAAAATAAAGATTTTTGTCCAACTCCAACAACTCTACACGTGGAGCTTTCATATAAGAAACTGATATTTTTGCAACAAATGTGAAAAATGGTTTGCATTATTCTATACTGTCCCTCTTTGCACCCAATACCAATTAAGGTATTTAAGAAGCTGGCAGGTTCCTTTATTTGGAGTTTAAATCAAGTTTATAGTTTTGTGAGGACCATATTTGTACAATTCATTGATGTATATATACCTCTTGCCATACAAAAAGGAACTTTCAAGACAAATTCCAGCTGCCTTATGGCACAGGCCACTGGATGGACCAACCTAGTTCCTTGCACCTACAGAAGACTACAAAAATGCTGCTGCTGTTGCTGGATTAAAGAATACCCTTTATCACCTGTAAAAGGTTCCTGTTCAATGTACCATCAATTCACTAACTTATCCATTGCACTCCCTTGTCCTATCTCTTCCAATCCACATTCCTTAAACATTCCAACAGAATCTGCTCTTTAAGTCATTCCATGCCTTTCTATCCAGTCACATCTAGCCGTCATTTGAACAGGTCATATCTTCTCTACAAAAACCTTTTCTTTTACTCAATATTTTTTTTTTTTTTTTTGTTTATCTGTTAACCAGATAACATTCCAGCATTTACTAAATTCTAAAAGGAAACTCTTCCTGTAGGTCAAATACTTGAACATAATATTTTTCTTCATAACCAAAATATTTGTAATTAAATATATTCTAACAACAGTTAGAATGAGTCGATTCTACATCTGTAATTATGCTGCACCATCTATATCCTAATTCACAATTACACCTAGTTCAAATTTCATCCACAGACTCAAAACACCAATAAGGAAACCTTCAATATCAATTAAAGCTTAAATCATTTCTTTTAACTAGGCACAATTTTTCTTCCAATCAACACATTCCTTATTAAGTATATCTAACTATTATTCAGATGTAGCAAACCCTGTTTCATTGCTCTTGGTGCAGACTTCACTTCCAGCTTTGAAAGGCTACTTGTTCGGTGTAGAATTCCTGACAGCTGGCACATATGCGCTTCCACCACCATTGCTGCTGCCAGTTCCTCGTTGCGACATACCATTGACACTGCTTGCATTACCTCTGGTGCCTCCTCGTCCACCGCGGTAGCTACCACCACCACCTCCACCCCTAGTATGGAGAATTAAAACATCTTGTATTTTCTTAATTTCACTTTTTTCTTTAAGTAGATTTGATTAAAAAGTATGGAGAGAGAGAGACAGGAAAAAACTAACATAAATTACCTGTAGTATCCTTGGTTATAGTTATAGTTTCGGTAATAGCCACCACGGTAATAACCTCTTCCACGGGGATAAAATCCTCTCCTGGCTGAACTTACACCAAAGGTCTCTACGTTGATCTTTCGTTCAAGTCTCCAGTCTGGACGTTGGCTCTTTCTGCAAGTGCAAGGTAAGCGTTTTAATCACAAAAGTACTCGGCAGAGGTATTAGATCGCATTATAAAAGCATAGATCACCTACTCACCCTTTACTACGCTCAATAGATTCACAAGAAATCCTGTCAAAGAAAGATTTTGCCTTGTCATAGCAAGTTGGATCTTCAACATCCTCTCCACCAGCAGTCTCATGGCCGGAGTCATCCTTCTTTTCGCCATTTTCGGTAATCTTCGTCTTTGCCAGCTGATTCTTCAACTCCTCAAATTCCTCGTTAGCTTGCTCAAAATCATAATCCTTCTCAAACAACTGCTGATCCTGAATCTGGCGCTGCCTATTGCCCTGGTTGAAAATCTGCCCTCTGCCTCGCTGTCCACCAGGTCTTCTCATACCACGGCCGCGTCCCATTCCACCTCTGCCTTGGTACTGGTGGTACTGGTAATTATTGTGGTACTGTTGCTGTTGGTTAGGGTGGTGATTCTGCTGAGACTGTTGCTGCTGTTGCGGTGGCTGCTGCTGTTGTGCCTGCTGCTGGCTGCGGCGCCCTTGCCCACTCTGGTTGCCATTACGCTGGGGTCTACTGGAAATTTAGGCAGTTCACAATTCTTTTATCAATACTTTGCCGATAAAATGCAAATTGTAAAATAGAACAGTGTACAAGATGAACCTAACAGCAAACTTTTTATCAAGTAAATTGCTAGGTTAGCAAAGGCCAACACAAACTACACAAGAACATTTAACTTAAAACACACTGTTTGCATATCGATATAAGTATCTGGACTTGTAACATGGAATGTATGAAATAAAAGATTTTGAAAATGACCAACTACAAATTCAAAACAGCTTTATATCATAACCATGTTCAAGACATTAGCACTACCTTTCCTGTTGCGATTGTCTCTGTTGTTGGGGAGATTTCTTCTTCTCTTCCCTTGAAGGGGGAGGCGAGACTTGCACTCCAGCATCAGAGACTGGGGACTTTCGAGCAGTTGGCGTGGATGAACGTGATCCTACTAGGATGTCTGAGAGAAGACCAACGGGAGGGAAACAACATGCTAAATTAATATTCACTGTCCTCTCCATCCCTCTTTTCTGCCACGATATAGTGCAGGTTAGTGTCTAGATGTGCAGCTGCTTACACTAATTGCTATTATGGCAACCCTATTACTTAAAAAATAACTTATCTATTTGTGGCAAACCGAGTGGCAGTGGCGTTTGTTGGTAACGATGTTCCTATGCTAAAATGCAAATTTGACATCTACATCTTTACTTGGTCAAATGGAGCTTCTGAAGCAATTTACGTTCAAATTATTTTTTATGACCGAAGCCAAATTGAAATGCAATTCTAATTCTTTCAAGGACAAAGAAAGATGCAGTGTTCAAATTGCAACACATGTATGGAATACTTACAAACTTTCCTACATTCTAATAAATAACCCCTAAACAAATCTGCTTTCACATGGCCAGGAAACAACCAGACTACCTGTCCCCTTCTTTCACCAACTTAATACTCCACTAAAATTCTGAAAAATTATAAAAAATACAAAGCAAGGTCACAATTGATAAAGGATCCTTTATAAATGGTTGATGTTGAACATCATTTTTTTTTTTTTTACCCTGAAACAGATTATTTCCAAAGAAATAATATAGTTTTAAAAAATTTCAATTAGCATTTCCTTCATCTGAATCTCAAATTCACTAATTTTCCAACTTTTCAATATTTTCATTTTCATTGTAAATGAATCTAAATACTGGAAAACATCCAAGATAAATGTGAAACTTCAATCAATTGTAGACATGACACACATTCCATTTCGTTACCATCCATGAGCATCTCCAATATTTACCTAATGTTGTTGGTAAAATGCAGTAAATAGAGGCATGGAAGGTTATGAAAAAATAATTTGTGATAAAGAACAACAGTGTAAATAGCACTAGATGAGGTATGCTCTATATTTTGGGGGTGTAACAGTTGAATGAACTGCTGCCAATCTATGCTGGCAAAGATTCTAGTCTTGTGATCTCAAAATATCAGGATGCTTAAATATACATGTATAAAATTCAAGTTGCTAGCCCCCCAAATAGTAATACAATCTATACTGTACTACCTACATATACATTACACTGTGTTGGAATATACAAAATGGCAAGGGTTACAAATACATGAAAATACCAATCTATTGAGCTTCCTCAGCTATCTACATCCAATACGAGTGTCTATACAGTCAAAATACTAACAAACAGGCAGTTTCCTGGAACTACCAACTTGTTAAAAAATAAAAAAAATGGATAAAAAAGTCAAGGTCAAGTGTGATCATTTTCCTTTAACAATGCAATACGTTATCAAATCAAAGTTGCGTTTTATTTTATATACTACCGAAGAAGGAGCCTACCTACATACCTAAAAAGAATGGTTCATACCAATATATATATATATATTTTTTACATTAAAACAAACCACTAGATTAACGCAATGTCTTTGCACTTTATTTCTTCTCTACTATGAGTGTGTTATAATGGTTTAAAAATAGTAATTTAATATCTAACCTACAATAATCAATCATGGTAACTAATGCACATTACTTTGCATATATATATATATACACACATCTATACATTTTCATCACAAATTGTGGAAAATTTACCCACTTCTACATGGTATTGGGAGTTATCAGAAAAATCTACAATAAGGAAGCTATATCTAAAGGATGTATGTGCATGTGTATACTTAGTGTACTTACATACAGAACATGTATACGTGTATATTTGTATAGGGACACCCATATACAGGTTGAACCTCATTTAGGGTTGGTATTAGGTCCCTGAAAATGGCAACTAAATGAAACCAAACAGACTTCGCTCTTCACCACTTGATAGTTGCCATTTGAACAGAATCCAGGAAATAGAATAGAGCAGCAAATGTTAAAACATTACCTAGTAGATGACAAATACTCGTGGATCCTTCACTGAGTGCCAACCAGGAGATCAGACAGATTAACGACACTGTCTTTAGTAATTAAAGAAAATACTGCTTGTTAAGCAAATTCCAAATACACCATTTCAAGTATCTGGACAAAATGTCTTACTAATAATATCAAAATTGGAACTCTGTTTATAGCTCAAACTGGCAAGAAGACATATGAACTTGACTATCATGTAGTACAGTTTTAAATATCTAGTTTACTTTAGGAAACACAGAAAAGGATTGCTGGTCTTTATGAAACTTAGAAGGTTACGAGGTTCACCTATACACGGGCATTTATAAGTGTAATATACTCATATGCATGGTATCACATACACAAGTATGTTCTATAATCAACATTAGCCTACAACTGCTCCTGTTCCCCTATTTCTAATACTAGGAACAAATGCCAGAAATATTCAAATGATTGCACAACATAAAAAGCAATGAAAAACAGCAATGCCAAGCTATTTGACTAGCAATAGCAAGCTTGTCAAACAAAAACTGTAGTGTCACATGAAGCCTCTCCATGAAGCTTTGCAACTGAAGCATATGAATGGCACTTGTTCCTACCTGTTTGATGGAGTGCATGTGTACCAGATTGGGGTGGGGCACCTATAGGAGCTGGCACTGCTCCCGGGGTAGTATTAGGGGGGGGGGGGGGGGGGGGGGGGGGGGGGGGGGGGGGGGGGGGGGGGGGGGGGGGGGGGGGGGGGGGGGGGGGGGGGGGGGGGGGGGGGGGGGGGGGGGGGGGGGGGGGGGGGGGGGGGGGGGGGGGGGGGGGGGGGGGGGGGGGGGGGGGGGGGGGGGGGGGGGGGGGGGGGGGGGGGGGGGGGGGGGGGGGGGGGGGGGGGGGGGGGGGGGGGGGGGGGGGGGGGGGGGGGGGGGGGGGGGGGGGGGGGGGGGGGGGGGGGGGGGGGGGGGGGGGGGGGGGGGGGGGGGGGGGGGGGGGGGGGGGGGGGGGGGGGGGGGGGGGGGGGGGGGGGGGGGGGGGGGGGGGGGGGGGG